TTTCATTTTGAATGGTTGTGTTTAAAAGTAGACATTTCAATATATATGTCTGTGAGGATACCTTATACGCTGACTTTCGGTTCATGAGACAAGCTTCAGTTCACGTGCCGCGCGTCTCCGCGTCGTGATTAGGCCTAGCCTATTGTCTGCAATTTATTTCTTATTATTAAATCCTAGTAATTGGTTGATGAAACATTGATTTAAATTAAGATAATTATTTTAAAACGAAATTTACTTTAAAGAAAGGCTTTGTGCTTGCATGTTTAAGCTATGTGAAAGTTTTAGTGCTGCTTCCAGAGAACGGTCACGTTCGGATTGTTTTTCCTCATAAATGCGAACACGGAAAATAAAATAAAGATTTTATGTTCTGGAGAGAGTCAACCCTTCTTCATCGGGTGAGTATTACTTTTGGTTTGTGCAGTGTGGTTCACATAGGCCAATTTATTAAAATATTTAATTATCTGGGAATTGGATCTCCTCCATAATGCTGAAATTGCCCAATTTAAAAAAAAAATTTAGTAATAATTTAAGTTTTGTGGTGTAAGTCTACGTATTTTATAATGTTAACTTCAAATAATACTAATAGCCTAGTAATTTAAAGATGTTGTAGCTAGCATTGGGTCTGGACGTGAAGGATAACTTCGGGAGTTGAAGGGACGTGTCGGTGTCGTGATTCTGTCTTCTCACACCGCGACACAGGTTCGTGGATCTGAGTGTCGCGATCGTTACAGCCTTACATAGGCTATATTCTTCTTGCAGATAAATATACTCACGCAGTTTAGGTTAGAAGCCTCCAGTGAGTTCAACGTTTCAGGGGATAGGAAATGCTCAGAGGTGACGAAGGGAGTTGAGAAGAGCAATGTTTATTTCAGCGAATTTAAAGCTTTGACAACTTTAATCGTTATTTAAATACCTTTACTCAATTATCTCGACTACGAAACCCTGTGAGATTATTTTTGAATGTCTGTTCTTTGAAATTAGCAAAAAAAAAAATTTTTTTTTTTTTTTTTGTTATTTCATGGTTTTTCCACATAATCGGCCCATATCTTAAAATGGAAGGTTGCAACTTCCGACTCATTTCGCCAGAGCGGGTCACATTTGATTTTTATTTTTTAAACAATGTAATGTGTAACCTAAAAATAAACAGATTATTTGATAAATGGTATATTTAAATCTGCATATTGTAGCCTAATATCTGCAGGGCAGCCTAGTCTTAATAAATGTATGCTTCATTTTTCATTAGTAAATTTGATCAATAAATTCAATAATTTAGAATAATAAGACACTATAGGGCTGTTACCCTAGGTAAGGCTGATCAAATTAAATCGGTTACACAATAATGTTACGAGATTGGTTTAACAGGAGTCAATTAAAAATCGCTGTAAAGAACGATACTTTTAAACATAACCCTAAATCACCATAAGGTGTCGCCAGATGACCGTCTTAATGAACGAGTCATGGATTCAAAATGCTGAATCATTCAGTAATGAGAAAACACATTGCTTTGAGATGCGCGATGGGTCGCTGTGATCTTTGTTTAACTATTTTCTCTGCTGAAACAGAAAAAAGTCAATATTGCATCTAAAAAGTCAATATTGCATATAAAATGTAAGTGACTTGACTTGTGTGTGTGACTATGTTTGTTGTAGTGAAAAGAGTTGCACCCTTGTTAAAGTTTAAGGCCTTGTGTTTTTGGATATATATCTTTCTTTCTTTTTTTACAAAATATGCATATAACCCATATATTTTAGATTTATTATTTGCTTTAAATTAAATTAAGATTGTATTTTTGGTAATTGAACCTGAATGAATTTAAAAATGAATGTGCTATATTTCAGATCATATATTTGTTTTTCTTAAAATTTGAACTAACTTTATTCTCAGCTGAATTATAAATATTTTATTTCTGTATCAATTAAAAACACATTTGATTTTTCTTTTTTAATCAATGTAGAATGTGTAACTGAAATATAAACAGAGTAGGGCTCTGTTTGAGGACAAGTAACTAAAACCAATGCGACATGATGAATGTTTGTTTCCCAAACCATCTCAGAGTAACAGCTTACTTTTCTTTCTTACTATATTCTTTCTTACTATAAACTGTGCTGTAGAGCTTGCATCAGTCAAAGCAGGGTTACATTTTGCATGTCGTGCACAATAAACCTAAAGGCACCAGGGTGGCAGTGCCACCGGCTTCATATATATATGTATATATACAGTATATATATATATATATATATATATATATATATATATATATATAGCTGTGATCCACGATGAAGGGCAAAAGACAGTGGCATGGCCACCCTGGTGCTTTTAGGTAACTAAGGAACCGGGGTTGCGGTGCCACCGGCTTGGGCCCTTCATCGCTGCTCGCAGCTATATTTATACTTATTATGCATACTTTATAAACTGTTTTTTTTTTTATTGATTTCCCAAATGCCCTTCCAGTGACATTCCAAAACCGTCACCATTCCTATATAATTTTTTTGCTGTTTTTTTTTTTATATCCTGAGTAAAAATTGTTATTCTGTCATAAGGTATTGTGACGTGTAAGTAACATGATTTTTCTAAAATCAAAAAATGTTTTGCAGAGGCTCTTAAGAAGACAACACAGATCAACTGGCAAGGAACTGAGAGGGAACTCTCAAAATAGTCCAGTACAAGAGATGGAGGAGTAGAGTGTCTAGATGCGCAAATGACTGTCTGCAGTGTAAGCTGTACTGATAAATGTATTGTATAGTTGCTGCTTCTTCTAACTGTCACCAATTTATATCCTGTTCAAATGTTCAGTAAAGACTGGGTCAAATACAGGTTCAAAATATGTATTTTAACAAATAGGTATTAAATAGATACTCATTAATCTGACATAAATCTGCTTCTTTAAATATTGTCCCTGGAATTTCAGAATATAGCATAATATGATGATGAGTAATTTTAATAAAATTGAAAATATTTCAATATCACTGTGTGCTCTAATGCTTTAAAACTTGTTTGTGTGGTGTTGCTACTCATTTAGATGGAGCCCAGATGATCCCCAATTGGGCCACATGCATATGATTCCTAGTTGGGCCCCACCTAAAGCCCTGTGAAATCCTGTATAAAAGAAATCCTGAATCCTGAAATCCAGCAAGTTGCTGAGGCCAGCATGGAACCTATGGACAAACCCACTTAAAGCCCATATTTCAGCCCATATAGTAACCTTGTAGTACCCACAAAAAACTAAAGCTGGGACCAAGATAGGTCTTGTGCATGTGGCCCAGTTGGGGCCCACCTGTTTATAAGTGCGATCCTACATGAAACCCACCTGGGCGATTTACCTGGCACCATTTGGGAACCCACGGACAATCCCATACAGAGCCCACTTTTCATTTCAAACCCACATGGATCCCACATACAAATGTCAGCTGGGTTAAAGTTGGGCCCGAGATGGGTCTTGTGCATGTTGCCCACTTGGATCTGGCCTAGTACCAAGTGCAATCCTACATAAAATTCATCTGGGCAATTTACATAGGGCCATTATGTAACCCATGGACAATCCCAATCAAAGCCCATTTTTTAGCCCATTTCAAACCCACATGGGCCCCACATATAAATATCGGCTGGGTTAAAGCTGGGACCGAGATGGGTCTTATGCATGTTGCCCACTTGGGTCCGGCCTAGTACCAAGTGCAATCCTACATGAAATTCATCTGGGCAATTAACATGGGGCCATTATGTAACCCACGGACAATCCCAATCAAAGCCCATTTTTTAGCCCATTTCAAACCCACATGGGCCCCACATATAAATATCGGCTGGGTTAAAGCTGGGACCGAGATGGGTCTTGTGCATGTTGCCCACTTGGGTCCAGCCTAGTACCAAGTGCAATCCAACATGAAATTTATCTGGGCAATTAACATGGGGCCATTATGTAACCCGTGGACAATCCTACATGGGGCCCATTTTTCAGCTCATTTCATACCCATATGGGCCCCACATACAAATGTTGGCTGGGTACAAACCAATGCAAATACTTTCTTGAAAGTAAAACCTTTCAAATAGAATTAGCTAACCACCCTCAGGTGAGTCTTGAAGGGCAGGGTTGGCTTTATCAGCAGTTTCCACGGCAGAGCATGAGCTCATACAAGGTGTTTGTCCGTGGTAAAGAAGAAGCCTCCCCATCGGGGAATCGAATCCCAGTCTTCGCGTGACAGGCGGAGATACTGTCCACTATACTAACGAGGACCGGTCGTCACAGCAGTGTCCCTGAGCGGTACGGCATTGTATGCTCAGCCGTTGAGAAGTCAATTAATACTGGACATGCTTTATGGGAGTTATTGTTATTTAAGCCTTTCATTTTGGCCAAGGGGGGCAGGAAGAGGAGCTCTCCCTCTCCTGTGGAGGAATCCACCTGCAATCCAAGGAGATGAAGGGTTTGTTCATTTAGCCTCCAGGAAGTTCCTAAAAATCTCATGCGAATTCTAGACACTGGTCTTCCACGTAAAGGCGGAAGGTTTGTTCAAAAACAGAAGACTTTTTGTCTGGAGCTGGGTGGTTGTCAAACCATCGCCATTTTCCCAGTTCACAAATTCAAATCTTGGGTCAGCAGCATGATTGTAAGGTTTACCAATCACAAAAGGGTAGTGGTGGGAGAAACAAAGCTTTTCAAAGCTTTCAACTGATTGCTTTGCAAACTGATTAACTGTTTCAACGCATTCGGATGGCCACACTGGTGAATTCTGCTGGTCAGATTGGAAATGCAACAGTGAAAATGCCACACAAACTCAGGCCAAACATACATAAAACAACCTTTTACAAACCAATGCAAATACTTTCTTGAAAGTAAAACCTTTCAAATAGAATTAGCTAACCACCCTCAGGTGAGTCTTGAAGGGCAGGGTTGGCTTTATCAGCAGTTTCCACGGCAGAGCATGAGCTCATACAAGGTGTTTGTCCGTGGTAAAGAAGAAGCCTCCCCGTCGGGGAATCGAACCCCGGTCTGCGGCGCGGGAGCCGAAAATGGTTAAGCTTAACTTCCCTTAACTTTTCCCATTCATTCTCTATGGTAGTGCTTAACACTACGGATGCAATCTACTTTTGGCCACACGTAGACTTCCCGGCGCTGTTTCGCTTTTCCGTGGCGGGGAATTTAAAAAGCGAAGCGTCATCTGTCTACCCTTTTTATTACCGGAGAGATATTTGTTTACCGACTTGTCAGCAAACTTGTTTCGTTTTGTTAGTGTCTAAACTACCTGCAGACAGACTTTAACTCAGGTGAGTGCATATACTTTATTATTCAAATATTTTATCATTTAAATTGCATGTATATTGTCATGTAATCGTATTGTTATCGTGTTGAATGGATTGTGACGATAAGAAACAGCTATTTTATAAGAGTATCTTTGTTTGTAAAGGTGAATGTTTCATCATAATCTCTAACTATGTTTAATATATAAGTTAACATTGCAGAAAGATGTAATGTGCAGTAGTATGGAGGACCAAACCTGCAGTTAAAAATGAATGAATGAATAAATAAATAAATGAATGAATGAATAAATAAATAAATAAAATTAAATGTGATAATAGGAAAATACATAAAGGAATAAACGACTTGATAAAATAATTATGATAACATTTTAATCAAATATATTTTTGTATAATTTCCCCCAAATATATCATTTTTTGCTTTTTAATATTTTAATGTATTTGTATTCGTTTTAATTGTATTTATTTATTATTTTATTTCTTTGTTCAGTTTATTCTTATATTTATTTATGCATTCATTTAATTATATATTTATTTTATATAATATATATATTTATATATTATTAATATATTATATTAATATATATATATATTTATTTATTCCAATTTGTTTTTATTTCCAGATATATTTGTTTTAACCTTTATTTATTTAAATTTTCTTTCTTTAGTTTTATATCTATTTTTACAGTATTTCATTTATTGATGTGCATGATAATTAGGTTGGTTGGTCTTGCTTACCAAATATAAATATTAATTAACACATAAATAAAAGCAGAAAGGGAAGGGAAAAAAATACAAAAATGATTTTAATTAAGAATAAATCACATTTATTTTATCAAGTCATTTATTCCTTTATTTATTTTCCTATTATCAAATGTATCTTTTTTTTTACTTATTAATGTTTAATTTCTGCAGGTTTGGTCCTCCTATATTGTAATAATATCACACACACATATTACATTTTAATTATGAACAAATAGATATATGTGTGCAATTTAATAGTAACAATTTAACATTTTTAATTAGTTAAACTTGTTAACTTTTTATATATACATGCATACATTTCTGCATATATATTTTTATATATTTTTTATTTTATTTATTTATAGTAATGGAGGAGGAAGAAGAACTGGAAAGTTTTTCTCCAACAAAATATCTCACACAGCTGAGTAAGTAAATCAAGTATCTTGTCATGTGTGTTATATATACCCATGTCAAATTCTTATAAAATTGGAATAAAAATTGAACATACTGGAGAGAAACCATTCAAATTATAATGCGGAATTTTTAGGCTCATCTGCAGCCACAGGATCCACAGTCTTATTTACAACAGGTTACTTTACACATCCATTTTGGAGGCTTATTCAATTACATACTGTTACGTCCCTGTGGTCGAGTCTGTTTTTTCTTTTGGTTTCTATTTCTCTTCTCTCTCTTCTACCACTATCCTATTCTTAGGTTTGCGTCATCTCTTGTCCGCTGTTGGTTGAGAGCGATGTCAATCTTCATTTACATCATGACGTCATCTCCCTCCCGTGGCCTATCAAGTTCAACCTTCGAGTTTAAAGGGAAGCGGGAGAAGAACGCAAGACAGCTTTTGTTTCTTTCTGTGTGTTGATTGCCGCTTGTATGTACGTTAATTTTTCTGTTACAGACATTATTCTGTTTTGTTTTGTCTGCCTTGATGGCGTGTTTTGAGGTTACCAAGTGTAACGTGTCTGCCTTGATGGCGTGTTTTGAGGTTACCAAGTGTAACGTGTTCTGCTTGATGGCGTGTTTTGAGGTTACCAAGAGTAATTTGGACAGGTAAAAATGTCACGTGACGTACATAAAACAACACCTAGTAAACTCGATGTATACTACACCAGGTAAGAGAGTGAATGCCACTTTTGTATGTTTTGTTATTAGTTAGTGTAGGTAGAGAGGGCGCTTTGCGCTGAAGATCTTGTCTTTTATTTTCTTTTTGTTATTAGTGAGCAAAGAGGTTGGGGATTAGTTAATTGGTGTTTGTTTTGTTCCTTTCTTATTTGGCTTCACTTTACGTCCTTATACTCTATTATTATTATTATATTTATTTATCTTTGCATTAAAAATATCATTTGTCAAATAAATCATACTTTATATTTTCACAACTCTGAGTATGGGTCGTCTCTTGCCATTATAACGTGCACCATCTCCTGATCACAACCTCAATGTTGCCCCTTTCAAACAAACTTGTTTGAGGGTACGTAACATTTAATGGGGGCTCGTCCGGGATCTTTTATCTCAAGTTAATTCAGTTGTGATCAGTTGTATGTGTGTGTGATAGTGGTAAGTGACGTTATGTTTATTTTTGCGGCTTATTCATGCAGAGCAGTATTTTTGTACTCGTTTGCTGGTTGTGCATCATGGAAGTGTTTAGCTTAAAAAAATTCATTGCCAACCCGTCTTTTGAACAGATTAGTTCATGCAAGAAACAAGATTTTAGTTCTGATAGCTGACCACTATCAGATTGAGGTGAGTAGACAAACCCT